AATACGATACGGTGACTTCGTTTGAGATTATTTGCTCAAAAGAAAAAGGTATCGATAGACTGCGAATTTGATGTATTTCCATCGAAATCTCTGTCCACCCGAAATACTGTTACATTGTGTTCGACCTTAATTGATCCTGTTGAAAAAGGAAATGAATTTTTCTTCGCCCCTGTTAAACGACAGCTAAACTCTTGGCTGAGACGAATGTTCGATGTTGTTGATCGAACAATGGTTTTCCTCCTCCTTTGTTAAGAATAAAGGTACCGATTGAATTAACAATTTAATAAATTCGGTGTAATATTCAGACACACACACTGTTCCTTCTAATTGCCCATGATCAGCGACGCTCGAATAACTCGAAAATAACCGAACGATCGACCGAGCATCGCGGCGACAGCGAAATGATTCGACCAAGAAAACGGAAGGAAATTTTGAAAAACCGGAAGCTGAATATCGACGCGTGTATCGCTTCGAAAATCAACGCGTCCGAGTAACCTAAATGCAGACAATTTTCACTATGTGTCTATCGAAAATAAAGGAACCGGCCGGAAGTACAGAAGAGCCTCTCTTGACCGTCACTGCCGGGGTCTACCGTGACCCAGTGTGCCAAAATTGGTGTTCACAAAATTGAGATTAGCAACTGTTCAATTAAGAGCAATAAAAGCGTCAAGAGAGCGTCAAAGTAGAGGTCTAAATTATGCCTCGTCGATTGCACAGTGCTCGAAAAGGTTCTAAAGAGGCGTTTGTACAAAGACAAGTGAGTCCTGGATAAGGAAGTTCTAAATACGGTAAATTCTTCTTCAATTTTCCTTCAATTTGTACACAAAAATGGACGATTTTGGAAGAGGAGATACGATTATTCGAGCCTTGCGGCTCGACTTTTTTATAGTTACCGATTGTCAACAACAGTAAAAACGAGCCGCAAGGCTAACGCTAGATTTACGGAGCACAAAAAACAGCTGTTTTTTATATTAGTTTACAAAAGTAACAAAAATATATTTATCCTGATTTTTAACAAGCGTTATTGTAACATTATTGTAACATTTGCCGTAAGCAAATATATAAATTGGATAAATAACTCATAAATGTATCTTCACGATATGAATAATCGTAAATTTATTTACGGAGCACAAAAAGCAGCTGTTTTACATTAGTTCATAAAAGTAACAAAAAGATATTTATTCTGATTTTTAACAAGCGTTATTGTAACATTATTCTAACATTTGCCGTAACATATAAATTGGATAAATAACTCATAACTGTATCTTCACGATATGAATAATCATAAATTAAAGAATCAGCGACCTGTCATTTCGACGGGTTCCGTAAATCTAGCGTTAATCGTAGCAGCTTCTCTTCCAAATTGTCCACTTTCGTGTATAAGCTGAGCGTCGATCGGAAAGAATTCGAAAGAATCGCGTTCACTTTGCCAAATTTCCTTCCATTTCAATCGAGAAGATTGACGATACGTCCTCGCCTGTTAAGTAAATATTTAGCTAAATCGTTCGACCAGAGGGAAGTGTACTTCGGGATAATGGGTACTTGGTTACAGGGAGCTGCACTCCGCTCTAAGAAAACATAGAACGTTGCTCGTTGTTCCTTCGGCGATCACGTTGGAGCTTCACGTTCCGCTCGGAGACATGGATTCGTGTGTGGATCGTAAGTACGCGCGTCGCGTGCTATCACTATCGATCAAATAGCAAAAGAAAGAAAGAAAGGAAGAAAGAGAGAGAGAGAGAGAGAGAGAAAGCGAGCGAGAGCGAAGAATGTATCGAGATCGGGGGATGGATGGCACGGGATGAAGAACAAGAAGAAAAAGAAGAACAAGAACAAAAACAACAACAACAACAACAACAAGGAAACAGAAACACAAAAAGAGCGAAATAAAAGAAGCCACGACAGTTAGGCTTATTTCGATCGATTCATTCACTCGACACCCTCACTCTACGATTCGTTTGCGAGAGTACGTTATCCGCCATGATCCTTCGCCCCTTGATTTTCACCACTGCGTTAACCAACCGCCCCACTTTCCTCCCCCCTCCCCCCAAAGAACGAATTTTAGTCACGCAATATCGAGGTACTCCATAAATATAGACCTTTTAAAAAGAAAAGAAGAAAAAAAAGAGAGAGAGAGAGAGAAAGAAAGAAGGAAAGAAAGCGAGAAAGAAACAAAAATGGTAGTCAATCGTAGTCATTTAATAATTCTGATCTCAAACTTACAAAACTAGGGTAACTTTAACACGGAACGAACGATATTTGTTGTTCGCGTTGGAGCGAATCGTTGAGACGAGGAGGAAGCAAGCGCGGGATGAAAACGTTTCTACGGATGCTATTTGATTTTCCGCGAGGATAAACGAGAGTGATGAGAAAAGGGAGAGAGAGAGAGAGAGAGAGAGAGAGAGAGAGAGAGAGAGAGTGCGCGAGCGAGAAAGAAAGAAAGAGCGCGCACGAGAGAGACAGAAAGAGAGGAAAGAAAGAGAGAACGAGCGAGCGAAAGAAAGAGAACACACTCGTCGACGATCTCTTCCTGGTTATATGCGAGAGAACAAATGATGATAGAGACGTAAGATCAAGTAGGATAATAGGTAATAAAAGTCTTTATTACTCGAAAACGAACAATTCGATCTGCGCGACGCGTTTTACACGTTCGCCGCGTGTGTCTCGACATCGATAGCGTCTACCATAGAAGGTCTCTGTGTATTTACGGCATGTCGTAATTGTATCATCACACCGACGTAATCCTTAAGTACGAAAAGTTCTACTGCGTAAGAAGTTTATAAAAAAGTCGCGATCGGTTCCTCGTCGTCGATCGAAGATCTCGATTCTCATTTCCGTTCCTCCTTTCTTTCGTTCGTTGATTTAAACCCTATCCCCTACACCCCAACCCCTCCCATCTTGCCCCCTTTCGATTACACGTTCTTGCGTACACAGCCGGACACGCGAGTACATTAGACCCACGAAACCGAAACTAAAAAGAAAGAAAGAAAGAAAGAAACAAAACTATAATGAACAAGGAACGAGTCTTTTTTCGTACGTTGCTTAACGTTCTCGCCCGCTTTTTTACCAAAACCTTTGTCTGTATTACTTCGAACATTATTCGCATACGTTGAAACCGAATTTTAATAAAATCCACAATTGAAACGCCGTGTTGTTTGGTTGCCTGCAGTCGCGCACAGATCGCGCTGCAAAAGGTGACTGCGACGAACCCCCAGCCACTTGGCGAATTATATCCTCGTTAAATTAAGGTCTGCAAGACAATAGTTTTTCAGTTCACGCCGTTCGTCCTGAAATCGTCCAAATGCGCGTTAAAATGTTGTCGAAGAAGGATATCGAGCGTTAACGTTTCGAAATTGGTGCATTTGTTGAGTGACATTTATATTCAGGATGTCCCAAAAATGCCTCGCAATCTGGAAACAGCGTGTTCCTGAGGACATTTGCAGCAACTTTTTCCTTTGCGAAAATGCAATCCGCGGCTTCGTTTACGAGTTATTAAGGAAAAACGCTGACCAATGAGAGGCGAGCTCGGCTGGCGCGCGGCCATCCAGCGATTGAGCGCGCGGCGACCCAGCCAACGAGCGCGCGAGGCTCAGTTCCACTCATTGGCTCGGCCGCCTCGCGCCAGCTGATCTTGCCTCTCATTGGTCAACGCTTTTCGTTAATAACTCGCAAACGAGGCCGCGGATTGCATTTGTGATAAGGAAAAAGTTACTTCAAATCACCTCAGGAATCCGGGTGTTCCATTTTTGGGACACCCTGTATATTGATAGTATGTATATATATATTATATTATTATTATATTATATATGTATATATTATATTATTATATTATATTATATATGTATATATTATATTATTATATTATATTATATATATATTGGTAAAGTTTGGCATGAATTTTATAATATTGACATAAAATTATTATTGCATAAATACGTTGACAAATAATTATAAGGTATTATTCATCATTATTATGCGATGCGTATCACGATACATTATTTGGAAACCTTCAGGACGAACGACGTACAGTAATCATTCAGGATGTGTGACTGCATGCATGTATAATAAGTCTGACTACCTTCGAAGACCAACTAAATCGTTCTAAGCGTAACGAGTTACTATACAGGAATGGTTCGTAGTCGAAAGATTCGCGTCCGAGAGCTGCACGTATTAAGACTATCGCGAACCGATCGCAAACAGAAACGCGGTAGCTGTCTTCGCAACAAGTAGAACGATAAATTACGTTTCGTATCGTTGAATTGGGTCAGAAATAACTTCCGCCGCGGAAGATGGGCACTCGACAAGTAAATGATCGAATGACAACAATAACAAATCTCGAGTTTAACGATAACCATTGAATTGTAAGAAGTAGACGTCAGAATTCATGAGTTTATAGTACACTTGATTGTGGAGGAGCGAGTTAAAATAAACATTTTAACGAAATCTTGCGAACCCCGTTCAATGAAACCCTTCACAGAACAAACGAACTGTCTCGTTCGATCATAACTTTCGCGAATGATCTTTCAGTCGATTTATTCATTCGATTATACGTATAATAATCTGAATCTCGGTCCGAAGTCAAATATTGTCGAGTGGAAGTTATTTATAACTGAACCCAAGTAGGTTTACGACGAAACCTATCGATCGAGAGAAGGTTACTTCTCGAACGTGCGCGTTGACGATTAATCAACGATTATTCGAAGATTCGTCATTGATCCCGGAATTGGTCGTCCGAGTCGACGATTAATTCGCAAGCGTGCAAGACCCCTCTTGCAGATACCCCTATCATCGCCATTCGCTATGATTGGCAGTCGCGACGAGTTGCAACGGGGGCCAACGGGCCGCTGAAATTCGCTCGAAGAACCTTTCACGAAAATGGAGGACGGTTTTTAGTGGATCGTATCAAGCGAAGCGAAGCCGATCGATGGGGAACTTAACAGCGAGCCGTGTTCATCCCGCACGAAGCGACCGTTCCGTTTCATAAATCAATACGAAAGACATCGCGCGGGCTTTACGACGGCTTCGGCTTCCCTTTTTTGATGTTTCTCCGGCGTTCACGGCTCCCACTGCGATCATGCGAAACGGCGAAGGTAAGTGCGCCGATAATCCGAACGAATTTCGATGAAGTTACAGGATCCTTAAACCGAGAAACATTTACTGTCCAGATTGCACGGATAGCCTTCGTTCCACGAATATTTCAGATTCCTCGAATGCCGGAGATATATTGGGCACCGGCCAGATAAAACGAGCTCTCGGATGGAGGCTATGATAAGTGGACCGAGGATTCCATAGCGTGCGTATCATGATCTACCGATTCTCCTACGGCAAAAATTAGGAATTTTCGAACCTGGTATGGGGCAACGTCGAAACGAAGGGTTTTAACCCTTTCGCTACTACAGACTAATATAGTGGCCTTCCATATGAGGCCACTGAGGTACTACGGGCCACTATAGTGGCCCAACATAAGACGCCACTGAGGTACTATGGGCCACTATAGTGGCCCTCCATATGATGCCACTGAGGTACTATGGGCCACTATAGTGGCCCTCCATAAGACGCCACTGAGGTACTATGGGCCACTATAGTG